CTCTTTCGTAATTGCAAATTGCCTTAAATCTTCTTTGTTAAGTTTTGTAAAAACGCCATACCGACTTAGCCAAAATATAGTAACTAGTTTGGGTTATACAAAGTATTCAATAGCTACAGTCGCTCTAGTTACCTATTATCTTTAAAGAAAAAGATAATGGATAATACTATAGTAATATTTTGAATATTATCTATTTTATGACTAACATTATTTTTAACATCTTTGTATAAATTTTCTAAGAGCTCTGTTGATAATCTATCTCAACTAGGAACTTGAAATGATGGTTGGAAGGCATAAAAAAATTTTATCCAAAAAGGATTTTTAAATATATTAAGAAGAATACCTGAAGTATAAACTGCTTTGGCAAACTTATATTCTATATTTAATATTTATTATGATTCATTCAATCTATATAATTTTCTATAGTACCTTGTGTAAAATTTGAATTTTGTCTTTGTGTTAAATTTAAATTCTGTAATTTGGGTTTTTTAATCGTTTTGGCTGATTCGAGAGCATTTATACAACTATTAGTATGCTTTTGCATATGAGTTGCAAGTCTACGTTTAAATTTTTTTAGACAATATTTGCATTTTACTAGAGGGTGTAGCTTTTTTGAATCTTGAACTTGAGTATTTATTGATGAAGAATCAAATTCTTCTGTCTCATCTTTATCATCACTTGATGTTTCACTATCTAACTAACTTAATTCTTTAGTAGTTAAAGTTTCTAATCGTATCCAGCAATCCAAATTTTACTTTTTTGTGATATATTAATAACTATAATGAATTTATAATTTAATACAAGTGAACAAGCTGATATTTATAACAGTTATGTTAGTAAATATTTACAATATCACTGTACTATATATATATGTTTTATATTTTAATTATTAATATTTTACTTCTATATTTATTAATATTTATAATTAAGATACATATTAACAGTTTGATTCATTTATTAAAAACCAGTTTATCTTTAATATCGTTCTATTACAAACTTATTATAATATAGCTTCCAAATATTACTATGCTATAATAATAGTATTTAATTGTTTTTATTTTGCTAAATTATTTTAAAACCAGCAACTTATTATAATTTGTATATATCTAGTTAGATGTTAATCAGCAATTTAGCAATCTTAAATTAATAAATGAAACCTATAATAAACTTTGGCTCAACCTGCTTCATAAATCAATTTTACTTTATATAATGATAAAAGTAGGTTTTAGAACTAATTATTATAATTATAAATAATTATAACTGAAATGCGAGCATTATATAGATTGTTATAAAGACTGTTATAATTAGAAATACAATTTCCATAATGGTAATATTGGTATTAATTCAACTATAACTAACCAAAAAAGGTAAGATTTACTAACTTCTCCTATTACTTTAGAAAAATTAGTAAATCTAAAAAAGTGGCAGAATATACAAATTTGAAACCAAGTTGAATCTAAGAAGCATTTTACAAATAAAAAAATATGACAATTTGATTGGCTTATTAATATTACTAGTATTATACCTAGTTACCTATGTATAATACTTGTATAATACCAGTATTATATCAGTGGTATATACAGTATAGTGTATACTCACATCTCTACTCATACAGTAATAGTAAATCACATGGCCATAGGCCACATGATTTATTATTATTCTGTGAAAACCTTAGATATTCATTAAATCCTATGGGTATGATGTAACAACCTATGCAACACATAAATTAAACTTTTTTTTCTTCTCATGTAGAGAACATTAACAAATATTTATTAACCATTGTAAAGAATAAAATTTTACTTTATTTTATTTTATGTATATAGCTCTTCTCAATTCTATTTTCATAGCAGTAGCCAACTTTTCTTTGTATTGTATAAATATTTTAATCAAGTATACTAAAATGGCAATTGATTGTGGCTTGGTGGCTTATTCTATACAAGCATGTATACACTTAAAAAGATCATGTATACATATTTACACAAAGTTGTTGATCTTTGCATCATGAACATATATATTCTAAACAAGAGCATATATATTCAAAAAGAGTATATACACTCAAAACAAGAGCGTATGCAAACAAGAAAAGAATGTAAATGCTCTAATGAAATAAAATATATATAAGAGCCTAAAATTTAATAAAGAATGATAGTTTTCATCTATGCTTAATTACCAATAACTAATAAGGAATATTTACTTATCTGAATTTTTTCTTGTGCATTATCTATTGAATTTGACTTGTAACTTTAATAAACCTTTCAAGACTCAATTCAACAGACTAAATTAACTTGTAACTTTGACTTGAATTATTAAGACTCAGATTCTAGAACATTTGTAGAATCAGATATTGCTATTCATATTAGTGACTTGTGGAGAACAACACTTACGACTGGTTATTCGACTCTGAAATCCATCAAAGTCCTTAAGATCACACATTTGTTACCACCCTTAACCAGTGTTAGAATATTTATTTAATCTAATGTTCTTAAAAATTTTTTTATGTTCTCAAATAAAAATCTTTCCCTCTCTCTCTCTTATTCACTTATTTGAACCTGAACAGAACTTATATATATATTTTTATATGTATAGTTAAAACTTGATATAACAAATTTTTATATTATACATTTTGTTCTATAACAAATTATTTAATTAATTTTAATTTTTTATAAAATATTTATAATTTATACAGAGGGTTATTGATATCTGGGGTGTTAAGACGCAAATCACTAACTCTTTCCGACGATCACTTGTACCAAATTTTCTCTAAAAACAATCACTCTATTCTCTAAA